GTGTGTGCACTTGCATAAATACCAAAGTTGATTTTCTTCTTATGTGTGGTAGAAATAGTATTTGTGTCACTGAGTCATTGAATGAATGTCTGTTGAGCTCATTAATGTTCCTTACTCAGAAAACCCTTTATGGAATCCACTCCATTAGTTTATTACCATTCATGGGAAAATATTTGACCAAAATACTCTTTGCTCCTCTGTGACACAAGACATAATTCTATCAAAGTGAGCTGTTCCCTTTCTTGACCACAGATATATCCTATCCAGTCATTACAAATACACACAGACTGTTATATTTTTTTTTATGGACTCAAGCTTTGAGCATGAATCTCTTCTGTTGATTTTCCCTCCTTTTGATTTCCAATTTTAGAAATAGTTCCTCCCTGTCCATTTTCAACAGGATAACCATCTGTAAAGCTATGCAGCCAGGAAAACTCAAGATAGTTTATGATTCTGATATGTTTTTAAATTCTTTCTCCATGATATACGAACAGGATCTAAGAAGCTACGTGACAACCAAGTGGAGGAAGTCACTTCTATATTCTCTTTTTTTCCCTTTATTCTAATTTGTTATACATGATGGCAGAATGCAATTCATTTCATATTACACATATAGAGGTCAAATTTTCAAGTCACTGGTTGTTCACAAAGTATTTTCACACCATTCGTGTCTTCATACATATACTAGAATGATGTCTAACTCATTCCACCATCATTCCTACCCCCTTATCCCCTCCCTTCCCCCTTCCTCCCCTTTGCCCTATCTAAATTTCCTTCATTCCTCCCATGCTCCCCGCCCCCATCGCCATAATGAGTTAGCATCCTCATATCAAAGAAAACATTTGGCATTTTGGTTTTTTGGGATTGGCTTACTTCACTTAGTATTATAATCTCCAACTCCAATTCATTTATCTGCAAATGCCATGATTTCATTCTCTTTTAATGTTCCATTATATATATAAACCAAAGTTTCCCTATCCATTCATCCTACATTGCATCTAGATTGGTTCCACAATTTAGCTATTGTGAATTGTGCTGCTATAAACATTGATATGCCTGTGCCCCGTTTTTAAGTCCTTGGGGTATATTCTCTTGAGTTGGATGGCTCAAATGAAGTCTCTTAACAGATTTCCTAATGGTTTTCTTTTGGAAAAAAAAAACAAAAACTAGATGATTGCTTATAGTGTGGATTAGATGAAAGTTTGTGAAGATTTACATTGCAGACAAAAAATTTGCTTTATACAGAAAAAATAAGAGCTTAAAATCACCACGATTTTAACAATTCCTTTAATAGAGAGGACATTAGTGAAAGATTATTTGAGTCAAGGTGGAAGAATTTCAATCAAAGTGATCTATTTCCTATAGTATATTGTTAGAATTACAGAAATAATAATTAGGAACAAAATATTTCTTGCTTACAATATTTATACAGTTGATCATTGTAAGAAAGAGCACAGACATGGTTCTCCTTGTTTAATTGGGAGGCATTCTGTTTGGGCTACATTTCAATTATATTATTTTTCTAATTAATGCCCTGCATTCGATATAATCAATTTGAATGTTGTAAAAGTAGATGGGACAAGAAGATAAAAATCATCATGTTCCCTATGTGATAAAAGTAAAAGAAAAATTACAGATTTTGTTTCACATCTGTTCTGTTTACTGCACAGTTAATGTAAAAAGTGAATCTCTGAAGCAATTAACTACTATTAACATGATGAATAGATTAAAAAATACGTCTTCCTTAAAGTAAAACAATAGTATTACTAATGTCAAAAATCTTTGGGGGTTGATTTTTCACTTGTGGCTTTAAATTTTGCAGTGATTTTAATCAAAGTGAGTTGTGATCGGTGTTATCATTTTTCACAATGGTTGGCTGATCTTTCAACTGCAATGTACAATAATATATATATTTAATTATAATGACTAAGTTTTGAACCTGTGACTGTGGCACAATCGCATTACACTTAATGAATGGTGCTAGTTGGTCCTCTTATAACATTTTTTATGATTTCATCAATTAAAAATTGAACCCCTGGGTATGCTCCCCATAATCATCAAAACCACAGTTCTCTTTTGCTTTTCTCTGTCATCTTTAATCCCCAAAACAACAACATAAAATATTTTGATTTGTTGACCCAAAAAATTAACAAATACAGCTCCAAGCCTGCATTATCTTGGGCATCTTCTCTTTTCATTTTTTGTTGCCACTAACCATATGAATGAACCTGTGTAGGAAGAAACCTAAGCCTTGGAACCCTGTCTCCTTTGGTTCCCACAAATACTGTCATGATCCTTTTTCACCCCCATGTGAGAAAAGTTGGTAACTTTCTATGGCCTGTTATATATATATATATACTTTTTATCCTAAGAATTAATATTCTCCCTTCCTCTGACATGTTCTCTTTTAGCAATCTCATTTCTCCCTGCTCTGGCACAACCTCTCTGCTACTTTCAAGCCATTCAATCCTTATTAGCACATGTGACTTGCTTCTAACGACTTCCCTGCCTGTGTAGATGTCACCTGGAGTCATGGGGAGTCAGTCCACTGTTTCCTGAGGCAGCCTTTTCCATTTTTGGATAAGTCAGTTAAAAGAGCTTTTCTCTGTATTGTATAAATCAAATAAGTTAGCTATATGATTTTCACAGTTTTTTTTTTTTTTTTGGTGTGGATATCAATCTAATGAGGCCTTATTTCCTAGTTGTTTTGCAGATGTGTGTTATGTCTATAGATAGGGTGCTTTGTCTACGCTGTAAGGGAGGATTCTCTGCATCTGGCATATCCACAATTCCATGCCTGGATTCACCCTGTCATCACTTCAGATGCAAAACAGTGTGAGGTCTACTTTTGGACACAGCACATGTATAAACACATGTTTGATGACTAAGCCACCTTTTAAATATGAACTATTTTATGTGAAAATATATATACAAACTATAGTTATTCAAGAATGATAAAAAAATCCCTATCTAAAAGTGATCCTGTAAATTTTAATTGTAGAGACTAAATGCAAGCCTGATCATATGCATACTCACTTACACACATAGCAAAATTACTAAATATTAGTAATTGTTTAACAAAAAAAGCATTATGTGTTTTATGTTTGTCTACAACTGGGTAACAGAGAAAATGTTACACCTCTTGTATTCTATATTTTGAATGGAATAATAATAATAATGATGATGATGAAGCAATTGGCAAATGATAGTTCTACAGCTGCAATTTCATATAATGTAGGAAAACGTGGATAGTTTGGCTGGCATTTTACAATGTGAATATGAGAAAATATCTCATATTTTACTTCAGTTGTAGTTTCAAATACTCTACAGAGCTTGGTCTCTTATTAGTATCTCTAAATTGTTAGCATCTTTAAATACCCCTTAATTATAAACTATTTTAAAAGTTGTTTTAGTAACAATTTTAATTGAATTTTCTGTGATGCTATTGTCATCGTTGTAATGAGCCACAACCTATATTTCAGTCAGAACATCTTATGCTCTGCAGTAATCTGAAAGTACACACATAAATATATCTAGGTGGGTTTTTTTACCCAACCTTACTCCACCCTACCCAGGAGCTGCTATAACTAGTAACTGACCATGGAGAGCACAGGCTGTTTTCCATTTGTTCCAAATAATGTGATAAAAATATCATCTAGAGACAACTAGGTGTGTCACTATCAGTTAACGTCTGATACAAAGATAAACATATGGTGAGAGACTTTTCACTAAAGTTTTCTTTGTAGTCTAATACATACTGACTTATTTATAGAGTGGCTACTTAGAGTTAGGAGTGCAGCTCCTGGTCATGTAGCAGATTTACAAGCTAGGATTGGCTTGGGGCAAGGTGGGCAGCATAGGTAGGGAGAAGTAGTAGGAAGGGATCATCTTTAGCCAGCACGACTCTACTGTGAATTGTTCTTTTTCAATTTTTATTTTATTTATTTTTATTCTAATTTATTATATATGACTCAATTAACTAGATGTCTTTAAAGCCCACTTTTATGCCTATCCATTAATCATCTATGTAATTTTATCAAGCAAAATGCACGAGGCTCAGAGTTAATTATGCATTATATTATGCCTTCAGATATCTGGATAAAAGTCATGCTAGAACACTCAATCACTTCCCTAAAATTCATTTCCACTACTGATGACTTAATGATATATTTACTTTAGAGATTTGCCTTGGGGGAGAATGATTATCCTGGTTAGTTTTACTTGAAAGAATAAACTTGTACTTCATGGAATCTGTAAGCATTTTTCTTTCTCTTAAAGTTCTTTTTTATTAGTGAATATTTATTATGCAAGAGAGTGGTTTTTTAAATCATTCTGTTAATTGTATTTTCAAAGCCCACAATTAATACAGAGAATGTTGAAACTCATGCTTTGGCTATTCCTAGGTAGAAATGATCCCCTTGATACCAATGCAAAGTATGAGAGCCCTAACATACACAGTTCTTAAATTGCATTGATTAAACCTGGTTAACAACAGGCTGAGGAACCTGGGGAAGCAGTGTGTATGAGGGAAGGCTGCAGCTTTGTTTCTTAAATCCAAAGTCAGTACATTTGAGCAGTAAAAGAATGATTTAAAAAACCACTCTCTTGCATAACAAATATTCACTGATAAAAAAGAACTTTAAATAAGAGAAAGAAAAATAAAAATGACAATTTTTAAGTATGATGATCACAAATCAATCTTTGTTTATAAACCTTGTTCTACCATTCATCTATCACATTATATGTAACTCACTAGCTAGAAATACAAATGTTAGCCTAATTTATACCTCTCAATTTAACTCTTTGATTTTTTACTCTGTAGTTTTGAAAACTGTCATTCTTCAGTAATAATATCCACAACTTCTAGGTACAGGTCATATACTCAATTATGAAGAAATATTTTCCCATGTTTCTAACAGCAGAGAGCAGTATTTTGCAAGGAGAGCTGATTTTGTGATTTAACAAATATTCTTTTGGTAAACTGCTTTTTATGTTTATAGCTATAAACCCTACATTAACAATTTTCTAAAACCTAAGTTAAAAAAAAATACTACTGCAACTCAGTTCTGGATTTAGTGAGAACAAAGACAAAATGGATTTCTGGTGGAGAAAGACTACCATCGCTGCCTCCTAGATGTCAGTGTCCACCCCAGAACCGCATTTTCGGCAGAAGATTTCCATGCTCTGGGTCAGGAAGCCCTCACCCACCAAGGAGATGGCGCACTTTCCACAGTTAAAGCACTCACTGTGCCACTGGCGGTCTTGAAAGCATATAAACTTGGCCCCTCTGAGACCTGTAAAGGAATTGGGAGAAGAAGAGAAATACATTCACTCAATGAGTATATTGAATCAACCTGATTGACCATTCAATTAGGTGCTGTTCTGGGAACTAGGGGTACAGCAGTGAGCAAGATGATGTAGAGGTGTCACTCCAAGAAGAAAGCTGTAAAGGTCTATGAATCTGGGGCTGAGACTGTAGCTCAGTGGCAGAATTCTTGCCAGTTCCATCCTTAGCACCACATAAAAATAAATAAAATAAAGGCATGCTATCCATTTACAACCAAAAAATATTTTTTTAAAAAAATCTATGAATCTGAATTGCTCCTGCCACTGTGGCCTATTTCTTTCTTTCATTTTTTTTTTTTCAGTGCAAGGGACCAAACTTAAACACATGCTTAGGCAGGTGATCTATCACACCCCCAGTCCTCAGAGATTAATTCCCAAGAAATGTCTCATTAGCCTCTACCATTTTAACTTAGGGCACACTTTTGCTGTTGTGTTTTTTAAAAGCTAATAGAATTTGAGTCTGCAGTGACCCTCTGATCTTTCTGCCTAATATGATTTCAGGGCGCAGTTCAAGAAATTGAGACGTTATAGAGGAGAAAAGATCTAAAAGTTGGAAAGTGGTTGATTTGCCTGAGGCTTGGGTTTATTTATTTGACAAGTTTTCTCAAAACGACCTTAATGTTACAGATTTTCTATAATTTTCTTATCATCCATGGAGTGTAGATGAAATAATTCATGTGCTAATTCATATATAATTTCTAAATACTCCATTTTAGGATGGTGAAATTGAAAGTGCCAATAAGCATTCCATTTCAGACAAACTCTGACTGTGATAATGAAGTTTTGTTTCCATCTTAAAAAGTCATAGTTGATATCTTTAGAGTTTAGTAGTTCATAGAGAAATTTGCTTCAAATCCCTACTTTATTTCCTTGATTAAATTTACAGTTGCTTATTGATGTTATCATCAATAGTTTCTAATAAATTAGTATATAACAAGTAATTCCCTCAAAGTTATTTGAAGCATTAATAAACTGATTGTAAGAGTCATATTCTATGTATTTACATGAATCATTTCTATTCATAAAATTATTAGATATCTAGCACTTTGATGCTTATGAGTTTTCTTGATTTAATTAGTAAGCCTTATATAAGTGGCAAATGTAAAGTAGTTCTAAAATTTTACAAAGAAGAAAAACATCAAAGCATCTGGCAGTGTCCACAATTAAAACACTATGTTTACTCCTTTAGGTCATGAAGATCATTTGCAGTAAGAAAGTCAGCCTGGAAACGTGTCTCTGCCACCTCTTTTGTTGGGCTTTATTTGTTCCTAGCAAGTCAATTCAATAGGAGGTGGCATTTTTTGAGCCCCTAAATATGTGCTAGTCACTACTATAAGCCCTTTATGTGTATTACCTCATATGGCTCTCATCTGATTTTCATGGGGGAAGATATTAGAATCATCCCACTTAGACAAAAAACAAGAGGTGGAGAAGTTCAACCACTTGCTAAGTGGTAAGATCTGATTCCAACCAAGGCAGTCTGGCTTCAGAGACTATGCTATTAACCTCACCAAATTAATTTTAACTAAATCACTGGTAAAACAAAACGTAACCAAGAATATTGGCAACTCTCTCTGGAGAAAATACAATATTTAAATTCCTCTTCCTCTAAATAAACACAAATCTAAGAACTTATTCCTGGTCATTGAAATTATGTATCCTGTGACCAAGAATACAGATCCTTAAGGTGACATATGTTTACATGAATGCCCAAACTTCTAAAGATAAGTATATGGCAGTATCAGGTATATTAATATGGTATTTTAATTCAAATAGCTATTGTAGTTTGTGGGGTTTTGTTTATTTGTTTGATTTTGGGGCACTGGGAATTGAACCCAAGGCCTACTTGTATGCTAGACAAGCCCTTTACCACAGAGCTACATTCCCAGCCCCAAATATCTATGGTATATTACTTCAGATAGCTCCAATTTTAAAGAATATTTACTTCCAGGCCTATATATATTAAGCAGTCAGATCAAGAAATAGTAAGTGACTTGGAGGTTTTTGCAAGCATTTCAGTTTCAATCAAGAACTGAAGTAAGATTATTATTAGAAGTTCCCTTTAGACTGTTCTAAATCAGATATACATTTAGTTTACTGTTGGGTGTGATTTATGGTTCTTGATCATCCTTGTGTTTGTGAGAAAAACAATATTGTTTTTGTCTGACTTTAAAAAGCTGATTTCAGTGATTGATTTGGAACAATTCATCAGAAAAATCACTTAGACATATCTGTGATGAATCAGAATTGAAACTCATCAATGTATGTTCTCTGAGATCTTTATTCGCTATTTGAGTGCCCAAAGAAATGTGCAACACATTTTAAATTATTTGATTTCCCCATTTCCTTATTGGTGTCCCTTTTTTCTAGTTCAATTCAAAAAATGTTTGGAATCAATTGTGATGGCATATTTACTAAGATTTTGGAGCTCAAGGTACTTATGCATGTCTGAAAGTCCAATTTTTGAACAAAGTGGTGGAGATGGTGTCTTGTTCCCTTAGTTGTAAGAGAAGCCAGATGTATAAAAAGCAGGAGAGCAGAGTGGTTAGGAGCATGTGCTCTGAGACCCAATAGTCTGGAATTGTCAAGTCCTTGGCAAGGGTCAAGGAAGTAATGTACCTGAGTGACAGAGACAGGATGTGAGGAACACAGAGGGCACTCCCCACACAAAATGGCAGCTGCTCAGCTCCATGTGACCTTGACCCTGTTTAGGGAACATGAAGGCAGCCTGTTCATCGGTGGTAAGCTCTATATTTGCTTTTGGCTGCAGAGATAGATTTTACATTCATCTTTCCCCCCAAATATGTCCAGGCCTAACAAAGCTGTTCTGCTAGTCAGATGTAGCCCATGGCTAGTGTGAGAATATGAAAAAAAAAATGGGGTCCCTATGCAAATGGGTGGAAGCCTGAAAGTTGGGGTTTGCATGAAACTTTTTCCTTCATTTAAAGATACATAGAATCAACTTTTGTTTTGTTATATTTATTTGAAAATGGAGGAGGAGGAGGAAAGGGATAGCATCATCTTTAATTCTCTTGTTATATAATCTGAACTAAAAAAATGAAATATGGTCTAAGAATGGAGAGCAGAATATAGTTCTGTCACATTATTAAGTGACGATAAATTGCTTCAAAGAATAGCTGCTGGTTTCTTAAGTATCCTGCTGGCTTTAGTTCCCTTACTATAGGATTAGCAGTTTAGAGATGGCTGAGGAAAATATAATGTATTTTTTTAAACCTTGAAAACCTATTTAACATGGATCAATTTATCATTGATGTCATTTTTCAAATCATATCTCATGTATCTTGTTTCTTTAGTAGAAAGCTATATTGTTTTTCTTTCATCTGTTCATAATTTCAACTTGTTGCAAGTGAATGGAGAGAAAAGAGAGTAATGTATTTGTTAGAAGCATGTTAAAATGAAGTTTAGTTCATTCCTGACCTATGCTTTCCTAATCATAGCAGTTTCAGATATTTTATAGAATATTGTACTTAATTAAAAACTTCTGTATCTTAATTCTGCTTGGCTCTGTTTGGAATAAAGGCAGAATTCTGATTTATTATACTCTTTCCTCCCATTCAAATCCTTAATGAGACTCAAATCAGGCCTCTTCATTTAACGTCTTCTCTGACCTCATATCTCATCCTTTTTTTCTCCTTCCTTAAACTATGACTTTACTTAGAATCTGTACCATTAGGGTAGTGTTTAATTTCTTTTGAAGAGAATAGTTACTCAAATTATACTCTGTCCTTTCCTTGAGGGGTCCATGTAATATTTGAATTTTTTATAAATTGGTACCTCAGTTGTGTTTGCTCAAAAGGAAAGGAAATACAAAAGTATAATGAAAGATTTAGATTTTTTACTTATATTTCCTAAACTAACTAGGTAACATTTTATGTAGTTATAACTGTCTTATGGTGGTACCATGTTGAACTGGAGAACTTACCAGTAATGGGTTTGGTACATGCCGCACACCTTTTGGCATAAAGATGGTTGTAACAGTCCATGCAGAATGGATAATCATCTTTGGACATAAATTCTTCTTCACAAAGCTCTTTCCTACAGCCACTACACAGAAAACACTCTCTATGCCATTGCTGGTCATGAAACATTATGCCACCTGAAGATATCACCTGCCAAAGAATTTCAAAAAAAGTCAATGAGTGTGGTCTCCATTGCATGTTAGACCTTTTCATAATGTCATTCTATGCCCACAACTGATACTCTACCTGATTGATTTAGGATATTATTTTCCTTAAAACTTCTGTGATTTTTTCTTAGTCAATATGTGAAATCAAATGTTATAGGAATTAAATAGGATTGGTAAAAAATGAAAATTATTCTAATTTTTCTCAACCAATGGATCAGAAAAATGGCATGGCCTTTTTGGACTCAAGAAGATGAAAAAGAAATAGGTGTTTGATTCACCTCATCTTCCTTTGAGTTTTCTTAGCTTTGCCATCAGACTTAAGATAGTTCTATACTATGTTCTTACATCAATATCTAATTTGTAAGGATCTGAGGAAAAACATCTACTTTTTCCTGTAAGCTTTGTACTAGGGTCAAGAATATCTGGAAGTAGAAATCCTGGATGGAATTGGTAAATATCGTCATTTGCTATTAATGACTTACATTTCTTAATTGTTTTGAGGTCCTCAGTACTGTTCTAAGAGGTGGCCTCTTTGTATATTCTCAACATCTCTGCTTGGTGGAGACTATCATCTTTACCCCTTTTACAGATGAGCAAGAATCAAGAGTTAAAGTCACTAAATTACTTTTTCTGGAGACAGCATTCAAACCTGCACAGTATGTACACAACCTGTGTACATAAGCATTAATACCATTTGGAGTTGAGGTTAATTTGCATGGGTGAGCAGTTGATAAGATCTTGTGGAATGAATACTTAAAAACAACAACAACAACAATAAAACTTTCAGAAAGCAATTCTAATATTGTATCTAGCACAAGAAGGGTGTTGTAGGGTATGTGTTTTTAGCTTCGGGATTCAAATAATGGCACTCACTATATATTAAGCCTTAGGGTATGATTGGGTTTGGCCAAAGATGTTTATTAGTTCTTCATAAGATAATATAGTTCTTCTTAGCCAATTTAATCCAAGGATTCTACTTTTTAAAAACTTTAGATATATTTATCAAAATCAGATGGGTAAATATTAGGCAACTCTTCTTGTGTAGTTACTTTGAAGTCATCATCTTTCAAATTTGTGGTCATTGAACTCCTAGAATTGCTGAGGAAATTGGAATATGTTCCTGTACACGTTTTATAAAGAATGAAACAATATGGTATCAGAGAAGGCCTACAGTCTTTATATTAGAATTAACTCATATTAAAGATAGTTTAAGTCATTTGATTGTTGACAAACTCAAGTGTTGTTTGTCTATCATGTAGGCTTTTGAAAAAATATTTTAAAGATATTTTTAAACTTATAATAAATATCTTAGAAATTAAAGATACTTGACATAAAAGTTGTTTTTCCTAAAGGAAAAAAGCTTACTATTCTGAATAAGTAAATGAAAGTATAATGGTGTGTGTGAAGTAAAGCAATTTAAAATACCCCCTACTGACTTCAAATGCCTTACCGCAGGCACAGCAGAAATCATGATGACTTTGATTTGTTTGGTCAAATGATTAGCAGGCAATGCTTAAAAGATTTAAAACTTGGAAAATGTATTCACAGCAAAATAAAACTTGATATATACGCCAAGGTCTATTTAATTAGGGAGAAGAAACTCTGGAACGTTAAAAATTGTTTCCTTGTGATTACATTTCTTTTGAAGAGGGAGGTGAACTAAGATGAAGTCTAATATTTAAGCTTGGTTTTGGCCACTGACTGATTCCATGATTTATAATAAGTTTCTTCTCTGGAGAAGTGGAGGCAATGATGATTTTTCATGCCATAGATACCAAAGCAAGAGTTGAACATATTTAACTCTATTTGAACTCTGAGAAATTTGAATTCAAAGCACTTGTGGTTTGAGGTCAGTTGCTCTCTAGAGGAAAATAAATTTAGTGTGACAAAATAAAATCTGTTGAAAAAGTTTAAAGGCCTGGTTGTCAAGTAGTTTTTTCTTTCTAAAAACCATGTGGTCTTTGGTTTGGGTTGAAAAAAAATTGCTTTTCTTTAGCTTTGATCAAAAACATTTACATCCAGCTTTCCTTATGGAAATTGTAGTTTTAAAAATTAAGCAGAAAATAATCTGGCATGCCATGACCTATCTATTATCCAACATAAACATTTCATAAATTTTTGATGACTCTGAATCACATTCTAAATATAGTCACAGCTGCCTATAACCTGGGAAGCACCAATGCTTCATCCCAAACCGTATTCAGCCCTGAATTATGACAGAAGTTCCTATCTTGAATCTTTACAGCAGTATTGAAAGAACGTTCATATTGTCCAACAAATTTTAAGATAATTCTCACAAATTCCATTAATATTTTAGTCTAAGTCTTTAAGAAAGGAAACCTAAATTGGCTACTTAGTTGTCTTTCAAAACAGTTAGTTAAACCTACTCATTTTATTTCTAGCATTTATTTTTAAATTTATGTCATTGACTCTGGTAATTCAATGGAGTCATAGGATCTGACCACTGCTTGAAACATTTCCTGTCAGTGTTTCTTTGAGTACTAGATGATTTCATATAATATTACTATCCATTGTAATTTTCAATCATCATTATAATGTAATTCAATAATTACAACTTAGGAGAGTATATTTATTTAAATATAAATGTAGTATTGGTATTGTTAATATCTGTAGAAAATTACTGTATGTGTGTTCATATGTGTGTGTATATGCACCTGTACGTGGTAATGAGACCCAGATATCCGGGTGCAAATATACAAATGGTCTTAAGAGAACTGCCAACGTTGCCTATGGATCAAAAATATTTAGGAACCAGTATACCAATCCGAAGTGCTTTCATGAATCAACTTTCTCATTGTAATTTATAGTGTCATTTTAAATTTGTAATGTCTCACAGGTCAAGACTTACTTTGAGAATATTAATATATGTTATGAAGCATGGACAGGTTTCATCAAGATTAGAGATGTGAGCCACTTTCCACATAAAAATATAGAGGGTAAAGAAGAGTTGGACAAAGTTTACCTCTGAAAAATGACTTGCTTTCTTCCTTGGAAAATATACTTTTCATGGGAAACCAACTCCCTGCATGCAACATTGAAACTGGAAGTAAAAGAACTTGAAGCTCTTAGTTTTGTTGGTGTTTTCATCTTTATCGAATTCCCCTTAAGATCTCCACAAACCTACTCTTTGAAAATGCCAAAGCTTCAAACCAAGAAGACATTTGCATTGCACAATGTGAGGAGTTAAGATCTTATCTAATTTGGTTCTTTAGTCACTCTGTGAAGCAAGTCCATATTCCTCTGAAACAGTTAACACTGAAAGGATCAAAAATTATGTCCTAAGAATTTTGTATTCAAAAAGAAATGTACTGTCTCTCAGAATGCATGAACTCATTTATAGAAGCAGTGAATGGAACTGGAATGTCAAATCACTTGAACCACTAGAAAATTAAATTCATGTTCTGGATGAAATTTTATAGCTGATAAAATATAGGTGGTCATCCTCGCTGACAGAGAGTAGTTTTGTGCATGTTGGAATTCAAAGCTAATATGAATGTATTAGACAGATATGACTGTATCAGTTCATTCCAAATATATCATGTAGAAAAAAAAAAGCAATGATACAGAAGCTTCTACAAGTTTCATCCTCTTTAGATAATTACCTTATTGCAAAAGTTGCAGTAATGAGCAAACTTCTTCTCAAAACATGGCAGGCAGTAATTTCCATTCTCTTTGGAGATCAAGGGCTTTGTGCCTATTGGCTGTAGGCAAAGCTCACACACAAAACAGGTTTCATGCCAGTAGTTTCCCTTAAACTCCATTTTGCGAGAACCTATGAAATCCAAAAATAAGAACCTGTTAGTACTAGTCAGGCATGGTTTTATTTTCTTTAGGTAAGTGTAGATCAAATTACTTAAAATACATATTTTAAACACCAAATTGAAAAATGAATTGTCCTTTTATAAAAATTACATTCTGCCAGTTTCAGAAACATCCATCTGGGGAAAGAAAAGTTAATACAGTTCAGCCTTGATGACAATGAATTATTCTTTCACTGAAAACTCCTCCAAGGACTGCATAAGGCACAATTTAGAGATGTTAAAGTATTTTAAAGGGAGAATAGGAATGGCTGCACATGGTTTAGATAAATTGGGTAATTATAATAATTACAAGGATATTAGAAATGCCCAGGGTACAACCCCCAAGATTTATATTGTATAGTTATGGCCTCTAAAATTATTTGAATCCATAATAAGAAAATGTGTGTGTGTGTGTGTGTATGTGTGTATGTGTGTGTGTGTGTGTGTGTAAAAGAGAGAACGGGGGAGGAAAGAAGGGAAGGAAGGAGGAGAGAGAGAGAAAGAATTTCAGGTCTTATGCTGCTGTCCATAGAGAGAGAGTAAAGGACCCAAATATAATGAATTCATGCTTGTCAAAAGTGGAGTGATTTACATAGAGACTTGTCTTCCCTAAAAGAAACAATGAAGACTGATCCCTGAACCAGCTTGTGTAGAGTTACAACATGATAGTTGGTCCCAATCTCCTCTGGCAGATTTTTTTTTCCCCTTAGAACATTTGTTATGTCTCCAGGGCAATGTGTTTAAGTAGTGTTATTAACAAACAAACAAACAAACAACAACAACAAAACCCACCATTTATTCAGGTTCTGCTTGAAAATGTTATCTATGAATCAGTTTTTATTAAAATACACAGAACACTAATTTACCTGTTCAAGGATAATAAATGAACAACCTTTTTATTTTGTAAAGTACATGAAGTGAGATCAAGAGAGGAAGAAAATTGTCTTTCTCAAACCCAAGGCTTTGTGAACTGCTGTAATAGGGCACATTGTGGCCCTTAATGAAAAACACTGCAGCTTTGGTTAGACACCAGTGCTCCCAGGAGATCTTACCAGGCATGATGGTCCTTTTGCATTTGAAGCACTTAGAGGAGCACTCATTAGAATAGCACTCTGTGCACAGCAGGCGCTCATCCTTGGCAGCAAAAGGCTTTTCCACCAGAGAGTGTTTGCATTTGGTGCACTTGAAGCATCCTTCATGCCAGTGCTTTTGTTTGTAACAAAGATCCTTTGAGACAGTAAATAAAAGTTAATTAAATGTGTTTGCAATAAAGGCCATTTTATAAGACAAAACTGAACACTCATGGGACTCTAGTGCCAGTAGGTTGTTCTACTAGCTTGAGGGAAAGTTGTTATTGATACTGTTATCTATAGTGAAGAGACTGTGGAGTAATTATGAGCTACAGTCTGGGTGTTTCTTGGTTGGTCACTAAAGGAGCTGGAAAATACACTGACTTTCTGCTGTTTTTTCCTTTTGCATAGTGCAAGAGATTTTTCAGGAATTGTTTTTAATTTTTAGATTGTAATATCCCATTACACGTTGAGATTTAACTAACTAAATAAGCATACAAATAATACCACCTAATAAAAGCAAAGTTAAGAAGATGATGAAGAAGGAGAGAAAGAGAAAGAAGGAAGGAAGGAAGGAAGGAAGGAAGAAGATAATGGTGATCAATGAGCATTGAAGGAAGAATGGGTGGTATAAAGGGAGGTTTCCAAATCTTATGGGGTTTAGTGGAGCTGAGGTTGATTTTTAAGTTGGAAAGTATTAATTTTCCATCTTTACACCTCAATTATTTATATATTTATTTATACACTTGTTATTTCAGAAATAACTCAATATTTTAGCTGTGGGACTTTGGGGGAAATAGCTTAACTTTTTAAATGTTTATCATCCTAAAACACGAACTCACAAGACCATGTAAAGATTGAAGCACATGCTATATTTCACAGTAATAAGTGTCGTGACTGGAACTTCATTAGTGACAACTAAGTAATCCTTATGTAAGTATATGGAAATGTAAAAATCCTTACATAAAGTATTAGGAAAATAGAGCTAAAAGTCAACACTAATGGAATCGAAGCATTTCGAAGCATTTGCTGCTTATAATCAGTTTTTATGTGAATTGAGGTGAGACTTACCTTGGAATCTGATTCAATTGGTTCTTTGCATTCCTCACAATAGTTAGAAAAGATACGATCATAACATGAAACACAGTATGGATTATCATCCTTTAGTACATACTTCTTCCCAAGAAGTGAGGCTGTGCAGTATTGACAATCAAATTGAGCAGTCGTCATTTTGGTTTGATCCTGTGAATAAGAAAATGATTCTTAAACACAAAAGTAAAATTCTGTTTATAAATGACAATACAGTATAAATCCAACACTTGAGTGAATTTCTATTTCTTCAGCACAAATCTACTGATTTAGGAAAATTATGCTTGTAGTCATGGTGACATTTTTTTTTAATATTTATTTTTTAGTTTTTGGCGGACACAACATCTTTGTTTGTATGTGGTGCTGAGGATCGAACCCGGGCCGCATGCACGCCAGGCGAGCGCGCTACCGCTTGAGCCACATCCCCAGCCCCATGGTGACATTTGGAGTGATTTAGGAATGGCTACTCTTTCATCTTGGCAGTTCTTGTGTGTTTTCTAAGAAAAAAATAAAAACATCAAGCCAACAGGCAGATTGTAAAAAAAAAAACATACTGTAGTAATCATGAGCTAATACGTACTTCAATAAGAATATAATGTGCGTTTACATAGGATGGCTTTACCTCAAGCATAATTCACATGACCTGTTGATAGGGTTTTTACAAACTGTCATCACTCCTTGTCTGGGAGAGTTCTGGAGGTGTGGAGGTGAAGTTTGATGTAGATGACAACAATCTTTTTGACTTAGACTTAAAGAGAAATTAATAAAAGTGCTTTGCCATTTTCTAGTCCATTTCCATTATCTAGTTCATTTATTTACTCCTTATTGGGTATCTAGTAAGGGCTCTGCACATTAATCCTAAGGTCTTCCTATACCATAACCCTCTGTTAGGATATCCTTACTTACCTGTGGCTTCAACCACCTTAAATATGCCCACGACTCCCCAAACTGGTTTCTGCTAACTTTAATCTCCTTGACTTCACCATGCAAATGTCCCACACCAAGCTGACCAAAAATCTTCTCAGTAGGTAGCATTTAGTCCCAGCCCTAGGTCTTGGACTAGGTTCTAGCAAATGTACAGATGTAGAATTGCAGGTAAAGTTTTTAATGGTAGAGAACAGCTATAGGCTTCTTCAAGACATAGGGTTAAATTAACTCATATTATGGTATGAATAAAAGCAGCAGCAGCATCTTCCACAATAAAAGCTCATGGAACACAAAGCCAGGGCTAGGATATGAATCCTAATTATTTTATAAATTAAAAAAAAAAAACATTAAGAAACAGAATATGTAGATTTCAAAAGTTTTAAACTAGGCATTTAACATGAAAATTTCATTATTACCAAAAGCAGTAGCACTAATTTTCCTTTTGAAGATGGGATTTATAATTTCTGGATTTGCTGGGATATATTAGGATTCGTGAATGTTTTCTAATTATCCAATCTAGAAACTTCTTAAAATTTTAGCAAAACTAGAAGATAGGTTAATTATAGTGGTGTTTTCTAAAATTATTTTTGGTGCTCATTTGTAGTTAGTACATTTTACATCTTATTCTCATAATTTTTGCCTCATTTTAATGAAGAAGTTCCCCCAGAGTGTCTTGCTGAATGCACATTGTCATTAGTTCTTTGAATGACGGTTTTACTACATTGTTCTTCACTATAAGTGGAGAAAAGAATGAGGATTAGGAACACGTGAGTGTTTTCCCAGGAAAGATGAGAATTCAGACTAGAAAGTCCCCAATGGGACATGGCCAAAATTATCTGCAAGGAACATTGAATTCCCTATTTGATTAATTCCACAGAAATGTCCCTTCCTAGTGAATACAAACACACTCAAAGGGCTACCAAGGGCTTGGAAACAGAAGGAAAATAGATTCTCTGGGAAATTCTTAAAATAAAACTTTTCTTCATATTCACAGTGATCAATGTTTATTCCAAAAGTGAGATAAGGTAAGTAGTTTTGACTTTCATTACTTAATATGGAACATGTCATTTTCATTATTAATATTTAATTTTAAATGTATACAATAGCACCATGAGAATGGCCTCTCAGGGGTTGGGAACTACCAGACCCCTTCCATTTTGTAAGACATTTTGTGTATTACATGACAAAACAAATAAAAGAACCCCAAAGTGGTAGTATCAATGGTTTATTTCAAACAACACTTTAAGCACTACAGTGTCATAATGCCTGATCTCATTTAGTGATTAGATCAGAATTCTAAATATAAGGCCATTTGGTCCTTCCTTTATCTCCATCCTAATATGCTTTGCTCCATAGGAAATTCTTAACAAAATGGAACACATGTCTTCATTTTTTAAAAGGCAAAGATCACTTCTTATTCCATTCTGTTTTGTTACTGCAACATCAGGGAGTTGGGCAGGGTGAAAGCAGAATCAGGTCCACTACTAAAAACCTTGTAAATTTGCATTTATGGGACTGTACAGTGACAGCAGGCATTGGTTCATGTCAACAGTTCTTGAATGTTTACTCAGTGGTATTGAACTCTCTGTCTTTAAGAAGTCTCTGTTCTCTTAGCTTCTGTATTACTTACCTTAATGATAGTGGATGGAATTGAGGAAGAGAACACACTGAATGTTTACTCTCTTCTTGGTGGAAAAAAAATGCACTAAGAAAATCAGTCCTCATTTTCATGTCATTTAACTATAGAGTTATACTTTCAAATAGAGTTTCTTAAAATTACAGGTGTCATAACTATATAAACATTATAACTGTAGGTGAACAAATTCTATTAGAATCATGTAGAATTCATAGGGAACTAAAAGAAAGTAAGGAGAGACTTCCCTAGGAAGACTTTAAGGAAATTAAACTATTGGAAATCTGATGGGAAGGAAGGAAGGAGGAAAGGGTAGAAAGGAGGAGGCAGGGAAGGAAGGAGGGAAGGAAGGAAGACATCACTCTCATTGTATCAAGGAAGAAGAAAGATAGTGGGAGAATGACATAGAATCTCATCTGAAGCTGGATAATGGTAGTCTTGAGGTCAGATTCTCACCTGGGTATTTTAAGGATAAAGGAAGACTTTGAAACTTCAAAGCCTTTTAAAGCTCTTTGGACCTTTAATTGGGGAAGGGAGATAAAATGTTTTAATCAGCTTATTGCTGCTGTGACCAAAAGACCTGAGAAGAACAGTCTTAGAGGAGGAAGTTTATTTGGTGCTTGCTATTTCAGAGGTCTCAGTCCATAGATGACTGACTCTGTTGCTCTTGGCCTGAGCAGAATACCACTGTGGAATGGTGTAGAAGAGGAAAGCAACTCAGGACATGGAAATCAGGAAGCAGAGAAAGTGGGCTCCACTTACCAGGGACAACATATAAACCCCAAAGGCGTATTTCCAGTGACCTATCTCCTCCAACCATTCCCTACCTGCCTACAATTACCACCCAATTGGTTAGGTTACAACTCTCATAATCTAATCATTTCACTTCTGAATGTTCTTGTATCATCTCACAGATGATCTTTGGGGGGAATCTCATATTCAAAACACAAGAGTATGATTTTTTTCCAACCAAGTCACTTTTAAAAAATATTTTTAGTTGTAGATGGACACAATATCCTTATTTATTTTTATGTGGTACTGAGGATTGAACCCAGTGCCTCATATGTATGAGGCAAGCACTCTACCATTGAGCTACAGCCCCAGCCCCTAAGTCATTTTTAAAATCCAATTATTTTCTAATTATCATTTTGCATTCTTTTTTCTTCTTTATCCCTAATGTAAACATTTTTAAGTACTCAGGGAATAACAGTATCTAGAAGGCAGGTCAAGACCTGTTTTTGATCATTACCTAACAGGTGAAGCTGTAGGAAAGAGGAGGAGGACTATGTAGTTTTTGTCTCAGGGATCTAAACGTTAATTTGTGAAGATCAGAATTTTTATCATATGGTTCATATGGTGGTTTTAGAAGATTGATTTAGAGATGCACTAATATATCAAAAGAACATGTGAGGAAAGAACAATTCAGAAATCAGCAAAAATAGACTTGGCTTTGTTTTTCCAGGTCCTTCCTTTGTATTTTTAGATTTCTACCTAAAATAATGTGAGTTCATTGGCAATAGTTTCCATATCCAAGAATGTTGCTTAGGTATTATTTTCTAAACAAAACATCATTTTGTGTTGCTATATTTTATAGTGGGTTAATGCTAAGAAGGCTAATGCATGATCGGTCTGTCCACTTACATTTTTACTATGCTTTGCAGAATAGATTTCATAACTCAAGGGCATGTCAAGAAGAAGAGAGACAAGGACTAGATGCTGGGCTTTTTATCTTTAATATTCTTGCAAGGCACACACCATTCATTTATTCAAGTATTTGATGAACATGTAAAGTATATGTTATTTGCAAAGTAATCTGCTGGAAGCTGTGAAGGATGTAAAAATGCATTAGACTCACATCCCATCTTTAGAGAGTTTATAATATAGTAGGAAGAGTAGAACATTTTAATATATCACTAAAGTTAAAAAGTGATAAGGAGAAATGAAAAGTTATAAACATTTTGAGTTGTGTTTCTACCCATTAGAAGAATTTCTAAAATTTCTAAGGTGCACGCAACCGTATCCCAAACCAATAAATCAATTTTGGGAGGCAGAGATGAAAACTAAGAATCTTTTGGTTTTTAAGTGGTGTTTTACTGTTCAGTGAGGGTTGAAAACTACCAGTACAGAGGAGGGGAAGAACACTTATTTTTAGCTAGCAAAAATTCAGCAACAACCTGGAGAAATGGCATTTGAATACATTGTGAGGTAGATATTATGATGGGCCTTCCTGATCTTGGCTCTAACTCTGATTGTTAGAGATCGTAGAGCTAAAATCTTCTCCTGGATTTTCAGATTGAGTGAGTGCTTGGGAGGCAAATTTGACTCTATTAATTAGAAACACACGTGAAAATTGGAAGGTAGATGAGAAATCAAAGGTGTGTTCTTGCTGTTGCTTGTGCTCGTAAACTAGGTTCCATAATGTGAGTGGTTTCTACCCATTCATTATACCTGGAGTCAGTTTTACAGGGTTCCATGACTTGTATTTGGCTGTGAGAGACAGCTGTGGTACTGGTGTTGGAAGCAGCAATATCAACATTCAGATTCCCAACCTCTGAATCACAAGAAACAGATATTGAAGTGGGAAAGT